CACTGTTTCAAGCTCAAAATGCTTCGAAACAGCTTCAAAATTAAACATTTGGTGAAATTTCGCATGGCCGTACTAAGTACTGTCTTGAACATGGCCATCTTGTGGCAGTTCCCTTGTTGACAATAGTTTCAAAGTTTATATTCATTACATAATACATCTTACTTTGGCAGTCACATTTCATATATGCCTTCCATCTAAGGAACTTAAAGTGTTTTATTAAATTTTGATTGAGTAAAGTTTTTTTGATGCCTCTTAATACTCCTATGAGGTAGATAGGATGAGTCTTAAATGCATCCTAAACTTCTATTAAGTTGTTCCAACTGATTTTAAAAAACAAGGAAGTTAAGGGATAGCTGAAACCTCCCCCTTCAGTTTGAACACGTGCTATTGTACTTAAGTGCTGCATGCACATAGCACATAGGTCACATACTGTTCTCCAGGTCCCTCCAAAACTTAAACAGATTGTCATGAGTTAAAGATAAACCCTAAATCCAGCTGCTTCTGCATGAACCCTGTATAGAAATGTTACCTTGCTTCATGGTATATTATTATGCACAAGTGCAATCTGAAAAGGGAAATGATGGGAATGATTCTGTTGCAGGTCTTCAGTGTGCATAGAGGAGAAAGCTCTCCATACTCTTGCCTACCTCTGTGATGGTGATGCAAGGACTGGATTGAACGGACTCCAGCTGGCTGTTCAGGCCAGATTAACTGCAGGAAAAAGCTCTCATCAAAATAGTATCCACACGTATCCTGCAGATACAGTTCTTATAACAGAAGAGCATGTGAAGGAAGGACTACAACGGTCTCATATCCTTTATGACCGAGCAGGTAAGCATGTAAATTAGCAGCTTTCAAGGTAGTGCTATCCAGCAAGAACTACATAATTTAATAACTGAAGGTTACATCATTTAATACAAATATGAATACCCATTAATGTGAATGATTTGTTTTAGCTGGTATGGGTTTAAAAATGAGTATTGAAGAGTTTTTTTACCTTTACAGAGGGTCTGGATTTATTTCCCCACCAAAAAGGCTCCCTAGCTACATCTTCAGTCAAACAGGCTCATCTTCCAGCTTTTTTTACACTATAACTACTGGCACCCACAAATGAGAATCAAATTGAGTTGGGGTTTTTTTTCTTCTCTCTTTCACAGCTCTTTGAGTAAAGTGTATTTTTGGGACACATTTTTATGAGATTATGTTAGTTTACACTCAAGCTACCCAAGGTGGAGAATATTGTTACTGACCTTTAGCTTCCATGACAGAAATCTCTTCTCCATCTAGAGCCAGTAGGAAGCTATTTAAACCCCAAATGGTGATACACGTGTGGCCATAGTTGACAGTGGATGCTGTCATTCACATGAGGCATTCCAAAATGATCTGATTCTCTAGATGTTGTTTCAGATTATGAGGATTATGAAGGTAGGGAGCAGCTTGCATATACTCACATCTGTCACAGAGCATGCTTCCCCTTTCAGATGAATCGTTTAGATTTGTGCTGCTATTTATTAACCTTATTTTTCAAATGTCTCATCCTGATTTCTCAGAAGCACATCATGTGTAATAAATCAGCATGCTGTTCTCAACAGGGAGCAGCAGTACATGCCTTCAGGAAAATGAAAGCCTTTAGATCACTATTTGCCATGGAAGTTAGTAGGTTGGGTAGAAACTACAATCTGTGAAACACAGGTGTTCAGAGTCCTACCCTGGTTCCTGAACACTGACTTCATAAGGCCAGCAAGACAAGCGTTTCCAGTGTGTGTGACAATCTTTGCTTCCTTCTTTTCTAGTTCTTCCCTGAGCCCTGGAGAAACAGCTTGGGTGATAGATACAATGTAAGGCCTAATAGATTCAACTTGAAAGGCAGATAGCAGGTAGTTGTAGAACCCGCTACTGCACACCTGTCCAGACAAGGTTTGCTCCTTATGTGAGCTGCTATGGAAGAACCCTGCGGTCTTTACCAAAGAAGTCTGTGGGTGAGGACAGGTGGAGGGTGGCTGCTTACTGAAAAGGTTGTAAGATGTTGGGGATGGAATGGTGGTGTTAAGTAGATGGGGTGGGGGGAATAATAAATGCCACATGTCCCTGGGAAGTACATCAGTTAAATAAATTACTTAACTCTCAGCTTTAAATAGTTCATCTTGAATGTATTGTTCCAGGGCTTTGCTTTGGCTAGGATGAGACTTTCTAAAGAACCAGTGTACCATTTTTAAGTTATACAGACATTTTAATACACAATACAGAAAATAGATGCTATGAAGTGGTATATGTCCCCTTTAAAGTAACAAGACTACTTTCTCTTACAGCGCTAGTAAATTTCTTTATCTTTAATGCTGACCATGCCAACCTTTTCTACACCAAGATGCCGTGGAACTTTCTTCCCTTCTAGCTAGGATCCCTCTCATATTTAGCAATATAGAGAGAGAAAGGGTGTCTAATGAGATGAGAAGGATACTTTAGAGCAATGCGTATCTCTTTAACATATTGAACTAGTCGGACTCTATAGTTTGTATTTTATTGTAATTATTGTGGAGGATGAAAAATGTCTGACCTGGAATCCAGAAATGACATTTTGAATCTAATGTTGCATCTCTATTTTCCAGTAAACAATAGTTAATTTCGGCCAGTACACAGGTCATTAGCTATGTTCAGATGTGGTGGAAAAAATGTTTAGCACTTCAGTTTGTTGTGGTTTTGAAAATATGTATGTATATTTTCATTTGGGGGGAAGTTGGAAATCTTCAGTGACTTTTTCATTCTGTTTGGAAGTCCCCAAGCTCTCAAACAAAATACCGGTTGAAGAATCTGAACAGTTCTCTTTATTTTTAGAATTCCTTTATAAATTAATGCATTTTATAGTTTATGTATGTCAGGTTGTATATGTGTAATGGTGTTAAAAGATTTCTAATTTGATACCTGCCCTTACTAAATTCATGACTTGGCAACATTGTGTGTCACAAACATTGTCCATTTGTACCATTCTATGCAGTAGTGACGGGAATTACAGATTTAATATTAAGAATTACTTGAGTTTCCTTGTGTTTATATGCTAGAGCTTTGGTAATAGTTGAGCGACTGTGCATCTTAGCCTCTAATGATTAAGCCAAGAAATGTTTGGAAAATTGGTTGACTTAATTTTCCAGAAGATCAGATATGCTGGATTATCTTTAATTATGTCACTACTTGAAACCGTGATGAGAGATTTGTAGGGTTTATTTTTAAATTTTATATGATGCTTTCAAGGTTCCTGTTACAAATGAAGGGAAAATGCTGGCCATGAAAGCAATTTTTGGGCAAAGGTCACCCAACCCAGCAGCTCTGATTGAAAAAGGGGGGAGGCAAAAGATACAGAACAGGAGACAAAAAATAGTAATGAATTGAGTTGGAGATAGAGAAGAATTTGTGGCTGTGATTAGGGAAATGTCAGATTTCACTTGCTAGGCTCAGTGTTACATCCAGTTTCTCCACCCTTTGACAGTTTGTTCTTTCTTTGTGGCCCGATACTGTGAAATTCCGAACATCTCAGTTCCCGCCTATATACATAAATTCCAGTCCTATGTCTGATTTGTCTTCTTGGAAGGCATCCATTGCCATAACATGCTTCTCTCTTAACAGCTGATTCAAATATAGACAGCTTAGCTATTTCCTTATTCTAAGTTCAAATACGCTCAGATTCATGCCATTTACCTGGTTGACTTTTTTGGATGTGAATTTGGACTATGAAAATGTTGTCTCTACTAGGTGTACCTTGGATTATACTTCTTCTAAAATTTACTTTCTCCCTATCTGGCTGGAATAATCTAGTTGGGGATGGTCCTGCTTTGATCAAGGGGTTGTACTAGATGACCTCCTGAGGTCCCTTCTAACCCTAATTTT